GCTCTGTACCATCCACCAACCATCGTCGGAGGTTTTCCACCTCTTCAACAAGGTCGGGCTAAAATAAGCCCTCCACGCCATGACCGCGACGAATAAGTCAGAATGTTTGGTAACAATTGAAGTGGTAGTTCGAAGCCGTGCCGTGAATTTTCTTGATTTCGCTCCGAGTACAATTCGAGTGTGCCTCGCAATTCGATTGTCGGCTGTTTCGCATACTGCGATCTGGCATGTTTTAGTTCGCTCTAGCTTCTCATCATCCTCGCCATTTCCGGAGCCTTGCATCCACCAGGTCATGCTCCTGCGCAGCGGCAAGCTGTTCTTCTTCGGTGGTGTGTCTGGCTTGTCTGTGCGGGTCTGAGAATGGGCCCACTGGGTCAGTGGTTTTAGGGACAAGGCTGCATGCGTCAGAGTCGAATTGAGCCCCTTTTTTTCCTTCACGAGTTTTCCTCTCCCCGAACTCTGCACGCCACATCAGCACCAGATTGTCAGATACCGGCGGATGTCTTTGTGTTAAAGAAGCCTTGGTGGGTCCTCGGGGAAGCTTCCGATATAGCCACGCTTCAGGTTCTGTGTTTCGGGCTCACGAAAGAAAGCGAAGAAGCGATACTTTGCAGTTCTGGAATTGGTCATGATTGGCGACACCAGACTAGTTCCCACTACTTTTGGAAACGTTGCTCATTCACTCATAGCATCATGGTATGCTTGCAGAGTGAGCCTCCGACACCCCCTGACCCGAAGCCTCGTCGCAGTCTTGTCGCCTTTAAAAAGCCTGATCCATCTCCGGCCTGGGCAGTGTCTCTGTCGGCCGACAGGAGCAGCTGCATTCCGTCAACAAGGGCTGCCCCAACGAGTTCAACCTCGCAGACCATGTGATGTTCCTGCTGCAGAGCCTGGGAGCCATTCGTGCACTCTTGCCTCTTCGGGGGCTTTCGGGATGATTTCTTGTATTCTTGGCTAAACCCTAACCCTAGGCTTCCAAGGACCTTATAGTTAGGGCCCTAGACCCCTTAAGGACCCAATTATTGGGTCCCTGAAAGCCTAGGGTAAAGCTTCGCCTCGGCCAAGTTAGCTCTGATTTCTGGCTTCTTCTTAGGACGGAGGCCGAGTCGGAGTTGGATTCCATGCAGGCCGGGCCCGGGCCACGGGTCACAAGGGGTTTTTCAAGCTGGGACAGGTCTCGGTCTCAGGACGTTCTTAGAGGATGCCGCTTAAGTGCGTACTTTCGGTGCCCTACTCACCCTCAATGCTTGGAGCCCTCAGATTCCCCATTCCTGCGTGACCGCAGGCTAAGATGATCATGGAGACGCCGGCTGCGGCTGGGGACTTGGCTCACTGAAGTAGGGCTGGGTCTTGAGATTTTGTGAGGGCGGGCTTGTGCAAGTGTCGGGGTTTACGGATGCAGATGGGATTCGGATAAGTTCGGATGCACAGCTCGAGAAGTCGTGGCTTTAGGTCCTGATGACCTGATGAAACAGGCATCCGTTAGTGACCCGCCTTCCCGTCTGTAGCCTAGAAGCAGTGAGAAGAAGGTGGCAGTCAGAAGAGCTGCGCAGCTGCCGAGTCACGGTCTGTGACGGTTCTGACTCAGGCTGCAACTCCGGATGTGCCTCACGACAAGAGTGTGATGACCAAGACACCCGGCTTGACACGAAGAGTCCGCGCCGAAGCGTCTGAGACGGGTCGACACCGAAGCTGTGGCAACCCAAGCGCCCTGAGGACCATGGAGGGCGCCACGGCCGGGTTCTTGACCCAGCTCATGGCTCTCTCGAAGCGAGCCTCAGCACACATCGAGGGGCTGCGCAGCTTCGGTGGCGGAGGTCTGACTCTGGCCTCAGGGCTTCTGTTACCCCATGACCCTCACTGCACCCCTCCGAAGTCCCACAAAGGGTCGCTGCCCAGGAGAGGCCCAGAACATCTGGAGAGACAAGCCCGGCTTGATCGCCTCCATCATCATCCCGGTGATCCTGAACGTCTTCTTCGCCGCCATTTTCTACCAGGCAGTTCCCACAAAGCATAGGTGCTCCGGGGAATCTGGGGACCAGAGTCTTCATGGCCCCTCGCGGGCCTGTGAGCCCAACGGGAAGAGCTCGTGCTGATCGGATGTAGGTGGGTGACATCACCTTGGACAACTATGACCCACGCTCCCACTTCGGCGGAATGACGCAGGCTGGTGAATTCTGTCCCAATGCATACTATGAACAGTGCAACAAGTCTGGCCACAATTGTTCTGCCGTAAGCTCTCTCAGATTTACATCATGGCGAGAGGGAGGGGAGTATAGTGGGTGAAGCACAAAAAACGTTAAGATCCGCCTAGACAAGCAGGACGACCCAGGCTGGAAAGTGTATTCCTGCGCATGATCTAAGCTCCCTTCGGCTATCAAGACGCAGGTGGCCATCGGAGGCATGTTCGGTGCCGCGCAGCCGCGCCTCGGCAGCAGTGTGCTGTGAGGTGTTTCCTGAAAATCGCATTGCCTGGTTGGTCCAGACATGCGTCACTGGTCGGATATAAGTTCTCTTAGGCTTCACGGAACGCTGGCTCTCTGGCGGGGGATCTCACTCGGGATTAGGAAAGGGACTTGGAGATTTCAAAGATCTTAGGGAATGCAAGGGGCTTCGGATGGCCTCCCTTCGATGGGCTCTGCCCTTCGCGCAGATCTGCTCGCGTGGTGGTGCACGGCTGCCTCGAGCGTACGCAGGCCCCAAAAGACTTGTTTAGTCACGGGAAGATGTCGATCACTTGCACTGGTGCTCAGGTTGCTTTTGAAGTTCCCTTTGGACCGCGGCATTTTCCTCCGTGGCACAGCGGAAGTGAGACGGTCCTTCCGGGGCTTAGGCACTCCATTTCTTCAGGACATGCTGGAAACTCGCTTGTTTGTTGGGTTTGGAAATGCTGTTCATTCGGGCTTTGTTGATTCGCAGCCGATGCAAAGAGTCTTCCCGCATACATCAGCGCATCGTATACCCATCGTATGTTGCCGTGGAAGATTGGATTGGGTCAATCTGAGGCCTTTGGAGGACCCCTAGTAAGTACCTTGCGTCATGCTTGCCAGTTCAGCACCGCAAAAGTACAAGCACGCAGACACGATTTCCTAAACAGGACTATCAGACTATCATTCATTAAGGGAACTGCAGCAGAGCTAGACTCAGAATCCCGAAGAGAATCCTATGCTCCAGGTAAACCAAACCCCCGCGGATGAGTGATCCGAGGTGAGTACGCGACTTCAACCTACGGTTCCGCAGCGTACTTCCTTTCGTGACTTGGGCTGCAATCCTAAGCGGTTTCGGGTCCGGCAAGGGAGAGCAGGCTTCAAAATTTAAGACACTTAGGTTTCAGATGCAGGCTGGACACACCCATAGAGACAACTCCCTCCAAGTGGAAGCCCGGAATCTGCTCTCTCTGGTGGACAGCATGCCAAGACAGGAAGACGATGGTGGAGCTTCCGCAGTCCTTCCTGAATGCTGCAGCTTGTATGCAAGTCTGAGCCATCGGCCCTTGCAGCAACGTAGATGTAGAGCCGGGGCAGAGACATGTGAGTAATTGTATATTGGTAGTTCTCTAAATTAGGGTCCTTTCTAAAAGGGACCTAAAAAATGGACTTTAATTTAGAGAGCTACCCAAAAGATGGCCCGGCAGCGGCGAGGTCCCCTGTGAAGCCCCAGGATGCCCAAGTCCGCCACAGGTCATCACCTGGACGGCGGCCTACTTCCTCATGGGCCTGCGAGGAGCACTGGCATGGGGGTTCCGATCGAAAGGTCTCAGATGTCATTCGAGCCTTTCGGGTAGAGGCATCTGGAAGGTCTCCCGTCTCCCCGTCCGGGAATGTCTGAACTCTAGTGCGCAGCTTGAAGAGTCTTCCCTGCAGGGCAGTTCATGATTTACGTCCTCGTCTTCTGGGTCACTGGTGTGGCTGCAGCTTCCACCGCTGTTCTGGTCGGGTGCTTGGCAGCCAATGCCGAGGCCTTCCGATGGGCAAAAGAATCAACAAAAAGGTTTTTGTGATAGCTTGTGGACCCCGTAAACCCTCCTAAGGCCAAGGGCAGTTTTCGTTTTGGCAAGGGGGGGGATGTCTGCAGGTGGCACAGCAGGCCGCTCCCGCCGTTTTCGTGCCGCAGCTGCTCTTCGCCGGCTTCTTCATCACAACGGAGCCTCGGGGCACTTTCGGACTTGCCTTGACTCGCGTCTTTCGCGTACTGAGGCCACCCTTCACAGTCCCAGGCTGGAAGGAACTGAGGTAAGGGTTCAACATACGAGAGATTGAGCCAAAGCCAGGTCGAGTATGGTTCCAGGTACGGGATACCTGCCACTTTGACTTAGTGGCTCAGGGGAGTTCCGCAGCGATACGTCGTGGCTTCGAGCATTGTGTTCTAACAAGAAACGCACAAAAAGCCACAGCAACTCTGAAAGGTTTTATGAAACTTCTGTGCCAGCATGGCTTTCAGCGTAGGCCGTCGTGCCACCGTGAAACACCGAATCACTGAAACTCAGGAGCAGATTCCAGCCTGGCTGAGATGGGCGTCCTATTTGTGCGCCCTCAAGTATGGCATGAACTTGATTCTCGACCGATCGGAGCAGGTTGAGCTTGCTTTTCAGGGCAGGGCTTTGAGCCCAACAGCCCAAAGCAGGCCTTGACAGCAAACTATCCCGAAGTCCTGATCTCAAAGACTTCGTGTTCTTTTGTGCGGAATCAGGATGTTGCGCTCTGTCTTCTCTTCGGTGTCCCTCGTGTCCGCGCTTTCTGGAAACTTTTGCGAAGCTGCCAAGGAACATCCTGAATGAGTTCGGCTGCATCCTTGGACTTTGCAGAGCAATACATACTAGAAGAAAATATATGAACAAAAAATGCACGAAGCTACATCACACCTGCAGTCGATGGCTGCTTGTCTCCACATCATCTGCTGCAATATGTATCGAAGTCGATGTTTGCATCTGTATCTGTCTACTTCAATGCGGCATTGGCATATTATGCAGTATGAACGCATTACGCAGAAGTAAGTACTTGTAGCAAGTATCAGGCTATGCTGATCAGCAGACAGTATTCGGTACAATGTGCATAACCGTCAGCGGCAAGTTTCACAACCTTTTCAGCTTTCGCTACCTACCTCTTATCTTATTTTTCTTATTAGTATCATGATTTGTAGTAATAGTAGTATTGTGATTCTCATCGTTATTATGATGATGATTAGTACTGTTATTGTTATTGCTATCCGCCGTATTGTTATTCTTGTCGTTTTTGTTGTAATAAGAATAAGAACAAGAATGAGAAGAAGACTTCTGGTAGCCTCCCCTCCTCTCCTCTCCCCTCCTCTCCCCTCCCCTCCATCCACCCACCGTGCAGGCATGCATTTGTGCATGCCTGCATACATACATACAGACAGACATGCATACGTACATGCACAAATACGTGGACCCAGCGGGGCCTGAGCACCACCCGGCAGTGGACCCCACGGATCCCGTGAAACCTGGTGCTGGTGCATACTACATTTGTTTTCGTTCTGCGGAGCGCGAAGCCCCAGACCACATTCGCATTCGATAGAAGCACAGAGGGGCGCGTCCTACCATCTCTCATGTAAGAGTCGATCCCAGCTTCTGTCTAGTGCGAAGAGCCTGGGCTCTTTTCAGGCCCGGATGCAACGTCGAGCTGGCCAGACATCTACACCTTCAACCCCGCAACAGGCGTTTTTGGGGCCCTTGGAATCAGAGTCAGAAGAAGGAGTCTCATAGTCAATGGCTGCCAAGTGGGGAGCATCGCAGCAGCTCTGAAGCGAGCTTACACTCTGTTTATGGAACCCAAACGCTAATCCCTAAACTCCACCCAAACCTTGCCCCCGAAGTCACAAAATCCCGACCCTACCCCACACCCATACACGTTTTTTTTTTTAAATAAATTCTACACCCCAAACCTCAAACCCAAAATGCTCACCTAACTCCTAAAACCCAAACCCCACACCCAAGGTGCTGTACATGCAGCCTCAAAACCTGATCCCATTCACTCCCCCAATGCCTACATGCTAAATTACTGGATCGTCCCCCCCCCCAACACTTGGGTGCTTCTCCGCCGCGCAAGATGTCGCTTACTGTGCAAGTTGGACTGCTCAGTGGCAGGACAACTACTGTGCAAGCCGACTTGGAGGAAGCAGTCGGAACATTGAAACGTCGAGCTGAGACCGCACTCGAAGTGGGCAAGGGGCAGCTGGTGCACTCATCTGGAGGAGTTTTGGATGTACTTGCACCGATCAAGCGTGCCCAGCTGCAGGATGGTGACTCACTCGTTTTGCATATAATCAGAGTTCAAGTGCAAGCCACCCGCGGCGCTTTTGCTGCAGTTCTCAGTGATGGATCGTTCATGACCTGGGGTTATCCTGATGAAGGTGGTGACAGTAGCGATGTGCAGGGACCGCTGATGAATGCGCAGCAGATCCAACATGCGCAAAGCGCTTTTGCAGCCATTCTTCGTGATGGATCGGTCGTGACTTGGGGTGATGCTGAGCGCGGTGGTGACAGTAGTGATGTTCAGGATCAGCTGAAGAATGTGCAGCAGATACAAGCCACCGGCAGCGCTGTTGCTGCCATTCTTGACGATGGATCCGTCGTGACATGGGGACGTTCTGAACATGGTGGTGACAGTAGTTCCGCGCAGGCTCAGTTGCAGAATGTGCAGCAGATCCAAGCTTCGGACGGTGCTTTTGCTGCCATTCTTGGCGACGGCTCTGTCGTGACCTGGGGTGATGCTGGTCGCGGTGGTGACAGTAGTGCAGTGCAGAACCAGCTGAAGAATGTGCAGCAGGTCCAAGCCACTGGAGGCGATTATGGCGGCGCATTTGCTGCCATTCTTGGCGACGGCTCTGTCGTGACCTGGGGTGATGCTGGTTACGGTGGTGACAGTAGTGCAGTGCAGAACCAGCTGAAGAATGTGCAGCAGGTCCAAGCCGCTGGAGGCGATTATGGCGGCGCATTTGCTGCCATTCTTGCCGATGGTTCTGTCATGACTTGGGGTGATGCTGGTTACGGTGGTGACAGTAGTGCTGTGCAGAACCAGCTGAAGAATGTGCGGCAGATCCAAGCCACCTGCAGCGCTTTTGCTGCGGTTCTTGACGATGGCTCCGTCGTGACATGGGGTGATGCTGATTACGGCGGTGACAGCAGTGCTGTGCAGGAACAGCTGAAGAATGTGCAGCAGATCCAAGCCAACGTCTGCGCTTTTGCGGCCATTCTTGGTGATGGATCGGTCGTAACTTGGGGTGATGCTGACTCCGGTGGTGACAGTAGTGCAGTGCAGAGTCAGCTGAAGAATGTTCAGCAGATCCAAGCTTCCAGCAATGCTTTTGCTGCCATTCTTGGCGATGGATCCGTCGTGACATGGGGTGGTGCGAAAGATGGTGGTGACAGTAGTTCTGTGCGGACTCAGCTGCAGAATGTACAGCAGATCCAAGCTTCGCACAGTGCGTTTGTCGCCATTCTTGGCGATGGATCTGTCGTCACCTGGGGCCTGGAACAGGAAGAGAAGAATTACTGTAGTCACCCCTGAAATGCAAGCCCTGTGAACCGAACCATTGGGAGTCGAGGCCTGTCCGCGGCTTTGCAGCTAAAGACTTGGGGCCTCCTGGCTTGTGTTTTCTGATCTAAAGGATTGGCTTCTTCCCGTCAACATCAAGCAGCCGCCTTGCAAGAAGTAGCAGCTGCGTGACGCGGGACACTTCACGCTGTTCGTGCCAGGATTCGCAGGGTTGCAGTAGACTTAGAATCCTACACCCTCATTTTACCGGAGCTTATATTCTAAATCTTGATACGCCCACTTCAACGTTCGCTTTTTTATAGGTTGAGGTTCAAGTTGGGGTTTAGGGTTCGAAAGTGTTTGACATGAGTCAGGTTTTGTCGTACGGCTTGGGTGAGTTTTTCGGGGTGCGGGGCCACTAGTAACACAACACTTACTGGCATCATGCACTCAAGTGCCTTTCTCTCCTGTCCATGAAAAGACACGTCGGTACCCTCAATCTGCAACCCAGCGCTAGCAATAAACTCGAAGGCCTAAACCCCATCCCAGTCCGGGGTTCTCGATGCTGATTTTCGCTGCTGTTTTCCCTCCCGTTGCAGCAGGCATGAAGGATGTGCCTCTCAAGGCCACCGTCAATGCCGAGTTCGTAGTCCGGAACAGCCCGCTGGTTGCAATTGATGATCATCGATATCTTGCCCAGGCCAGGGTTACATGGGTTACAAGCGGACATGATCGAAATGCGAGGTATCGACCCAGACCACGTCTGGGTTTACGTGGGTGGCTCCGCTGCAATTCTCTCTTATGCCCCATGAAGACTGGCCGCTGAGGCACGAGGCAGGATCATGTTGAATCCAAGACATCTCCTGAAACCCTTCGAAGATGGAAGCCGAGGAATCCTGCTGGCCATCATCGTGGTCGTCCGGATGCTGTCGATCCTGGCCCTTGCGCGACGCGCGGCTGCCTTCTTCTGAAGAGAAGGGGTCTTGTGGCCACGAGGCCTCAACCCTGAGTGCAAAGCGCACTCTAGAGGTCCTCTCCGGGGTTCACGATTCAAAGTCTATGAGTGATGGGAAGTGTCTACGTGAGTGGTGGCGTGACCAATAGCCTGGGAGGTGGCGAATTAATTTCAGACCTGAATCACCCGCTCCACTGAACCTTAACGTTCACCGTCGCTTCGAGCCCCGTTCCCTCGGAGTGACCTTAGCCACCCGAGTGCCTAGTCCAGCCCCTCCTACTGCAAGCGCGGCGCCAGGCCGCAGCTCGGGCCAAAAGCCAAACCCGCCCCACAATCCGCAGCTTAGAAGGGCGAAGGGCAGTCTACGTCTTTGCAAAACTGTAAGTTCTCAAAGCGGAATGTTACGGCTCCGGCCTTTCACTCTCCGTAGGGCCCCAGGGTCCGGGCCCGAAGTTCGAAGCCTGGGCTGCACGAGCAGAGGATGGGTTCACGCGCGATTCGGCTTTTGCAACTTTCGGCTGCCAAGCTTCCGGCCCTGGCGGTGCCTCTGCAACAGAGCGCTGTTGGAAGGCCAGCGGGAGATTGGATTGGCCCATGTTGAGCCATATTGGCCCTTCTCCGGCTCTCTGTGGTGGACCAAGTCCCGATCCATGTGGAGACCGAAGCACGGCACGAAAAGGTTCGAAAGTGTTTAGGGTGTGTGCAGAGTTTCGGCCATGCGGAGATCGTGGAAGTGTGTGTCAAGTGCTCCAGACTTCAGAAGTTTCCCAGTTCCCTTGCCTGGCTGCCATGGCGCAGCTCATCTCACTGCGACTGCTTCTCGCCTTCCTGCTGGCAGCTTGCGGGCGTGGTAGAGCTCCGGTGGGCTTTGTGCAGCATCTCCCTGCTATCAAGACCCTTCAGGGGCGCATGGGAGAGATGGCAAAGAAAGCCAGGCGCCTTCAGACGGGGCTGGACCAGGAATGTATGACCAAGTGCCCTGGCCTGTTGTTCATGATGACGGACCTGATGTCTGGGATGCAGACCAACCCGCCTGCAGGAGATAATGCCAGTGATGCTACTGCGGGATTTGATGCCCTTGCAAGCATGATGGGAGCAATGTTCTCAGCGATGTGCAAGCACTCGGCAGCCATGACGTGCATGGTGACGGAGTGCGCGGCGCCTACAAATGGCGACTCGGGAGAGATCGGCGTTGAGTCGCTGGAGCAGTTCATGCCCTGCTTGTGCGACGCTTGCCCAGGGTTTGTGGATCTCTTCACAAGCCTTGGGTCGACTGCGGCCCTGCTCGAGAACAACACAAACATCACGGAGGCCGAGGGAATCCTTCTGGCACAAAAAGGGTTCTTCGTCTGTTGCGCCAGGTGGGCCCTCAAGCCTTGACCGCGCTCTGCCCGATGGTCTCAGCCACTGAATGCCTGACGACCAACGCGGCATGTGTCTCGGTTGCATCTGGAGCCAGGGAGAGTCTAGCAGACACCTTGGTGTGTGAAGACATGGATCCCAGAGCTGAAGGTTCGGCCTTCGTCCAATCGAATGGCGAGCTTGGGCAGAGGACTCAGCATGTCTTGGACCAGACCAGCCGACCCCCAAGTCCCAACAAGGAACTCCTGGTCGCAACAGGTTTGCAGGCTGACATCGGCTGTCACTGCGTCCGAACATTCTCGAAGTTTCTGACGCCTGGGGTGTTTCTTTTCATCCTACCCCATAGCCATAGTAATATATGGTACCTATATATATATATATGTATATACATATCTATATATATATATAAGAATGCTAGATATAGATATAGATCTCAAGCAGTGGCTCTCAAGTCTCAGACCTCACTTGTGACCCCAAGGTCCTCGGTCCTACACCCCCCCTCAATCCTAACTCCCCCGAAGCCCAAAGAACACCCCGAAAGCCCCAACTTCCTCAAGACGAACAGTTCTGCTGTGGCAAAGCTCAGGGCGGAAGCGGGTAACATTAGCATGATAAAGTCGCAGTGCGAAGAAGCTGGTGTCTTGTCGGCATTGTGATCCTGCAAGACTTTGTGGTGTCCGGGGTTGTTGTTCAAGGTAATTGAAGTTTGGCGTGAGGCTGCGATGACGGTGAGGATCTGGTCATCGTTACCATCACAAGAAAGTTGAGCCCATTTGGTAAAACAAGGATTGTCGGCAATCGGAGGTAAGCGGCCCCTGAAGGCCCGAAAACTCGGAGAGTGGATCATAGCATAGCGACGGCCTTGACTGGTTTACCGTCATCCAGTTGAGGAGCCTGCAGCAGCATCAATATCCCAGAGCAGGCGTGAAACAAACATGCATCCAAAGCTCACATCTTATCGAAGTTTTGGATAAGGTGACACGTCCCTGCAGATGCGTCCATGCACGGAAACTACTGAGCAACAAACCGCTTCCCTGCACCCCGCAGCGTGAGACGTCTTCATTTCGAACGCACTCTTCGCCTGTCTCGGCCGAGGTATTGCGACAGGGCGACTTGCCTTGACTAGGGTTGGGGGTGGACTCTGTTCGATATTGACAGATATTTGTTGGGACGTGTTGTCGTTCTAGGGTGACTTGCGATTCTATACAGGTTCTCTGCACCGTTCAGGCCCAGCTAACGATCTGTTTGCCTTCCCTTCACTGATAGCACTGTGCTTCGTGGTGCTTTGGAATCCAGAGGGGCCGGATACAAAATGTGAGTGTTAAAGGCTGTCGCGACTGAGGTTCTAGGTCTATGATGGTGGGGTTGTGAGGACAGCGGGCTTGCTTCGCAGGATTGCCTGCGAGAGGGGTAGACTCTGCTCCGGCTCTGCTCTGATCTTTGAATCAACTTGGGGTTAGCCGGCTGCGGCCCTGTACAAAAAAGCCCTTTTTCTCCCAACCTGTTTGGCCCTGGAGATGGTGGACAGTGCTAAGCCCCGAGCCCCAGGCTCCCAGCCATCAAAGCCCCGGCCACTAGGCCCAGTACTACGACAACCACCGCAGCCGACGTTTCGAGCTCCGCCATCACCTTTGGAGCAGGCGCACAAGGTTTTCAACCGTGGGACGAAAACCACGACATGAATGAATATAGTCAACCTAGTGCAAAGTAGCCAAACAAACGCACACACGGCAGTCAAAGTAGCAGCTGCGGGAGAGTCATCGCGGTTGTGGTGGTGATGATGCTGCTGCTGCTGCTGCTGCTGCTCATGCCCCACCCTCGAACAGTCGACGGCGAAGGCTTTGTGGTGACAGCTGGTGGCTGGCTCCGCCCCTAAAGGTAGTGAACAAGTCGAATTGGTCTGCTTGGTATTGGCATCAAGCGTAAACGATGTCAATTGAGGTCGAGAAGTTAAGAGGAACGGTTCAACGTCGACGCTTGCAATCATATGTGTCGGCGCTGCGTCTCCGTATCAACAGGTTGAATCGAGTGTGCCAAAACCACGCCAGCAAAGAAATTTAATTGTGTCTTGGCTATTTGTTATTGAAGTTTGGGTGGTTTACAGTACTGCTGGTTGTCATCACTGTTGTTCTTGTTCTTGATGTGAATGTCGTCTTCGCGGTGGTTTTTGCAGCTGTACTGCTAGAAATGCTGTTTCTTGCCATGATGTGCTTTTCATCGGTCTTTGTTCCCAAGGCCCCAGTTTCGGTAGTGAAGTGTGTCAATCAAGGTTTCCACCAATCTAGCTGGCAATAGTCAGTCGGCGTGACTCTGGAAACGAGCTGTAGACTTGTGCTATGCTTTGTAATGCTTTACAAAAGAAGGTTGCTCCGGTCGCATCATTTCCGTTCGTTCAGCCTTCAGTCTTTTGCTTTCTTCGAACTTGGTCGGGAATGGGTCCCGTTCTGTGACATGATGCCATGTCGGCTGGGAATGGTAAGACGGTAAGGTCTCGCATGAGTTCCTAACCGCAGCCGTAGCCTTGTCGTGTGGTTTAGCACATGCTGAAGAATCGACAAACTGGACCGCATACGCCAAAGATGTCGATTCTAGCTTCTTGTTTTTGCCTTAATTAATTGATTTCAGTGTGTGTCTCTGGACACAGCCAGGTGCCTTCTCCGTTATCGCCGGCCTGATTTGGAGCTGAGTAGGGCAACATCTCCCAAAGTCGAGCGCATGAGCGTCTGCAGACCGGGAGGTTCAGGCCACCACAGCTAGGTATTGAGCTTGTGCGATGTTGTGATGCAAGCTCTGGAGCTTAGGATATCTGCGCATCAGAGGCCTGTCGTAATCTTTCGTTACTTTGGATCACTAGGCCAAAGGTTGCATCGTTGCATTAGATTTGGATGTTTTGGAAACCGGGAGCGCTAGTGCCAGAGTTCTGTCGCACATTGGCATAAATTTTGCCGGCTCACGCCACAACGACTTCGACACTGAGACGAAGTGTCTTCGGACGCGTGCACGAAGGCCTATGAGAGGCCTTTTTTGTAAATAACATCGCTTTGCGGCGAGGTTGCACGCACCTTCCACCACAATCGCCGCCTCAGAAGAGGCTGCACTGTGCACTCGTTCCCCCTGGCTGAAAGCACACGGACAAAAGCAGCTGCAGTTACTGGATGAGAAGTTCAAACGGAAGCCTCTAATTGGCAGAGCACCCACAGACTCGCAACAATCGTACCGGGCTATACAGGGCCGCAAGCTGTGATTTTCAGATTTTGTTCAGCCTGCCATGGCTGGGCTGCGGTTTCGTCTTCGCAGTTTCGTGGAAAGCAAGAAGCTGGTATTGCCGCAGACAATGAATGCCTCAAGAGGCCACAGCTCGCCCGTGAGTTTGATTCAGGCACTCACTTCAAATGGGCAAGGCTCGTCAAAATCAGCAAAAGGCAGTAAAACCTAGCCTCTCAAGCGCGGAATCCAAAACGGCAAACTGCAGCAGATCCCAAGGCCCACGAGTTCGTCGTGCGGGCCCAAGCCAGCACATGCTTTTTGGAATTTCAGGTGTGTCCACGAGCCTTCAGAAAGGTTGTTCAAATTCAGCAACATGGGCATTCAGGAGCACCAAAGAGCGATCATTTCAGAGGTGTGCCTCCTTTCTAGGATCACCGGCCGCTGGTTGTGTGTCGACCCGACTTGCTGCGACAACTCGAGAACATGGCCGCCGCACTCCTCAGGGCGGGAAGCGCTCCGTGTACTGAGTGCTGTTCCTGAATCCAAAGTCCTGATCCAAACTCTGAGGTCGCACAGTGTGCACGCGTGATCGAGCGAGGGGCACGGGGTCTCACACCGCGGCAGATATCCCGGCACGCCTTTGACGGAGTCTCCTGGGCGTCGCGTTCTGCTTGGTGATGGAGAAGACTGCATTCTCTGAACATGTGTGCCCTCTTTAACCTCTTGGAAGAAGTTGAAGAAAGGGATGTGCCATTGAGCCATGCTGCCTCCGGCTGGATTGATCTCTGAACTGCGGATTCCAAAGTTGAAGTTCTTGGTCCCGTCTGATTTCAGGGCTTGGGCTGGCTTGTTTTATCGTCAACCCTTGCTGCGATCCCTCGGATGCGAAAGTGTGTCCGCACTTAAGTGCGTAAGTTTCACGGTAGCGGCAGAGCTTTCAGATTCAATCTATGGTGCAGTGGTGGTGCGGTCAGTGTAGTTTCTAATTGGGCGCTTCCTTTCGAGGGAGAAAGCCGGGGAAGCTTTGGAAGTGCCAGGCTCGCCTCTGTGGCTCGGGGCGTTGCGGCGCTGCAGGAAGGGCTGAAGAGTCCAGTTTGGGAGTTTAGGAGTTTGGCGCTTGCGGTTAGGGCCTAGGGGCCCTGGAGCCTTTTTACAGCCTCAGGGCCTAGGGCCCAGGGTCGAGGGCGGACCATTGCAAACCAGATCTGAAGAGATGTTCATATGCGGTATCCGGCGGGTGTCAGTCCCGAATGGATTTTGCCCTGAAGCCTTGAGCTCAAATCCACTCAGTATCTCCACGAGAGCCAACTGCAATGAGACCTGAGAGGCTAGGGGCTGTGTCAAATTAGATCCTAAACTCCTGGTTCTAACTCGAGAACTGCTGACAAATCCTGCGTCTCTAGGAGACCTTGAATCCCAAACCCTCACTGGAGCCTGGACCGAAGGTGTACTTACAGCTTGCTCGTGTATTGTTGTTTGCTCTGTTCTTATCTGTTGAGATGCAACTAGGCCATCCTACCTGAGTTTTCCGTCCCTTCCCTCCACCAAATCCTCGCTGTGCTTGCCTGCACTGCTGCCGTCCTCACTGTGCTGTTCCTACATTTACATATTTCGATCTGTTCAGTTCCCTGCACCGGACGCGAGGCTTCCGGCAGCCCTTTTGCTTTGCAGCAGGCGAGATTGTCGCGGTGGGAGTGCCGGCGTACAGTAGGTATCTGCTGAAGCTATCTCTATGCTTGTTATCTTCAGCGGTTGCTTCCAATTTTTGCAGACAGCTTCGGATGCATCCAGCCGGCTGAGGCTGGAACGATTCTTCGGAAAGTCTGGCGAAAGGCATCACGGGCTTGTTCCAGTAGGGGGGTGAAGCCATTGTCCAGCTCGGGCGACCAGTGCTAGAGCTTATGATTTAACAAGCTGGGAGATCTGGTTGTCTATGTTTGGGACTGAACCGAACCTTCGTAGGTAGAGGGGTTTTCGGGCTACAATCTGCAGAATCTCGAAGATGCAACCGGATAAGAAATTTCGAGCCGCACGCTGCTGTGCGCCACAATACCAATGTCTTGCCAACGCAGTGGTAGCACGTCCCGTGAAGCCCTTTGGGATGGAGTTGACTGGGTCGGTATCGTTTATAGTTTCCGGTGTTGTGCTGCTTACTGGTGAGCGGCTACTGCCGCCAAACTGAGGAAGAGGGGGACGGAGCCAGAATCCTCGCGCGAAGAACCTGCAACCCTGCCTACAGTTGGAGCCCTTCAAGCGTGGGGTTGCACAAGACGGATAATTGCCTTTTGTCGCCGGAGGTGGGGACGCACCTGGATTTCCTTGGACCGCAGGAGTTGAAAGACCCGAGCTTGGAGGGGTCGCCGGCTAGCATCGGATCCTGGGAGCTAAGCGTCTACTGCAGCACCCGTCTCTCGGGATTGAGTCCAACTGACCTCTGAGGGGCACAGAGCGCTCCGAGCCATTACAGGACGCAGAAGGAGAATGTTTGTTGGAACCGCAGCCCGAGCTCTCAGTCATCCGGAACAAATGCATCCTGCGATTTGGATCATGAGCTCCTCAATGTCCTTGGGTCCTGAGTTTAATGTCGGCGCCATCAGTGTGGCTCAGGGGAGTCAAGAAGCTTTTCCGTCGCGGTGGTGTTCGGTGTCGGGTTCCCGAAACGGTCCAAGAGTGAGACAAGCACATGTCGGATGGATGCGCTCTCGTCACCGACATCACTCGTGATGTCTCGGCAGCTTGTTCTGCAGATAAGGATAAGCGAAGTGGTTTGAGTGAGGGCAATGGTGGATGTGTGAGCAGGCAGCTAAACTGCCAGAGAGTGGCAGCAGGGAGAGATGCGCCCAGTGGATCGGGAAGAACTCCGAGCCTAAGCCTTAAGGGATCCTGGGTCTGAGCAGACCTGAGTTTGGGGTGCGGCAGTTGACCTGCCGCTGACAGATTTCCGTTTCACCACGAGGAACCGACAAAAACACAAACGGGAAGGGCTCGCTGCTACTGCTAGCTTCGCCTCAATCCAAAAACAAAGCAGAAGAAAGAAGCGTCCGAGCCCACCGTAAAGATGGACGGAGTCAGATCCGATCCAAGAACACGGCAAAAGCTGAAGTACATACATCGAAGTCGCAAGTTGTTCCAAAGCCACTCACTCGCCTGAATGAGTCACTGAATGAGTCTGTACGAGAAATGAAATCGCACTGCGCCGCCTTCTCATTGAGATTACTGGATTGAGTAGTCTTGGTCGGTAGTATCCATCCCTGCGTCTATATGCGTGAAAATGAAGAAGACCAGGGCACTCCTCCGAGCGGGCAGTAGGTGGTCAAAGAGCAGGTGTACCGTGCCCGGAATTTTATCTCAAAGCACAGAACACTTGTGCATCCCACGGGTAGCACGTTTTCTTCATGCACAGCTGGGTAGGGAGCTACAGAGGAGAGATCAGTCGACTGGTTTAGATACTGATAATGTGTATTTCTGTTTGTGATTTTTCGTTGGTTGGGTATTCACGCAGAAGCCTACATCACATGGAAGATGACTCGAAGCCCATTTCAGCCGAAGCCTCCGACAAGGCACTCCTTATGCATCGTGGGAGCGGGCCCTGCCGGCCTGCAGCGTCTCGGGTGGATCTTGTCAGGCTTTCCTAGATCATGCAGCTCTTTGCAGGATGCGATGTATGCAATGCTCTCCGTGACGAATGCCGAAGGAATGACTTCAATGCAATGTCAGTGAAAGTTATGCAACTGAAATATGAGATCGTCAGATCAGCTAGGCCGCTAGGCTGACCACCTCTTGTCTCGTTGCTCGCTCGCTCCTCCCTCGCTCCCTCCCTCCCTCC